AGTTACTTATTGTTGTTCTCCATTATTGTGAATGTATTCGTATTGTAATCTAAATGATTATTGCTTCATGATATTATCATATGATAATGTGAACATTATTGACCAGTCCCCTTAACAACATCAGTTTTCCAAAAGCTCTATATTTGTCAAAGAAAGTAAAATATTCTCATTCGCAAGTATAGAAACTAATTTTTATAAAAGCGGTTCAATTTTTTCTCTATAGATTTTTTTGACACTACTTGACATGAAGCTCAATAAAAACAAGTCTTCATTTGAATCTCACGCAGCTGGAGACCGCAGCCCTGCGTTCTGCTTCGAAGCTTCTGCTTTACTTCTGAAGGTGTGAAAAACTGTTCGGTGAGGGCTACATGTCCCCCGATGGGACTTCTCCTTTCAAGGTCCCCTCTTAGACTCATTTTAATAGCTGAGGAAAACTTTTAAATAATGCTGCAGTGTTCTCTGGTTACTCTAAACGGTGACAGAGTTGGACTCTTACATTCAAATCTGCAACATCGATAGTGTCGATAACCACAGAAACTAAAAGCTTGTTCCAGTAGTTTGTAAAATATAATCCCTTACTAAGGAAGTCTTTAGGGACATCAGTTGCTGTCCATTGATTGTCCCACAGAAGTGGCTTTCTGTCAATGTAAACTGAGGTATAGGTCAAAATTACAGATACTGTCGGTAGAGCTTTAACATGCTTTTTTAAAGTTCTTCTTTCATATGAACACCATTTACAGAAAGGTTATGACAGTAGATTATAAGATATTTCTTTGTTGGTTTTGGATTCTTCAAACAGAGAAATGGAACTAAATGTGAACTTGTTAAAATGTGCAAAAACAGATGCATCGCATGCAAACTCTCCCACACGTACACACCTTTTGATGTTGCTCTGACCACAAAGTAACCAAAACGTGCATTAAAAAGTAGTTATTTCCTCAGTGCTCTTACATTTGACGTTGTTGGATGTCTGAAGACACATTTTGACTTTTGGCTGAGAGAACAGGCAGCAAGATGGATGTTCACAGATATTTGATTGTGTATTACTTCCTGGCATTCACCTTCTTCAAATTGGCAGGTAATTGTTATTTATCTGTCTCAGTTTGATTAAAAAGTTCACAATCTGTAACCGCCTTTGAAATCTCTATTCCAGATTGCTCTGAGGTGTCCATTGTTGGAGGCAAAGATGTCAAAAAACGTCAACCCTGGATGGTGTCCATTCAGAAGGACCAGATCCATGTGTGTGGAGGAATCCTGATTCAAGACCAGTGGCTTTTAACTGCAGCACATTGCCAACGATAAGGCAACAAATTAACTTGTAAAATATATGTGAAGCATAATATTACCTTTCAAGAAAGAATATAAATCTACAAATGAGTATTTTTGTAATATTAGTATTTTTGTTGTTAATCTTATCTTTGTTTGTTTTGTTTATTTATTTCCTTGTAATGAAATCTTTCAGGAAAGAATATAGATCTATAAATAAGAGCACGTAATCTGCAGTGCCTTGCATCTATTTTTCCCTTTTCTATTTTTCTAGGCATTTTTTTTCCACTAAAATAATTGTCTAAATTAGAGATACAATCAGTTTTCTTTTTCAGAAAACCCATTACATCGGTGACAGTTCTGGTAGGATCTCTGTCTCTGAGTAAAGGCACTCAGCGTGTCGGCATCCTCAGTTACGAGTACCCTAAAACATTCAATGTAAAGACTAAACAAGATGACATCATGCTCATTAAGGTAAGGATGAATTGAACATAGTATGGTAAGTGTATGCATTTTTCACAGTATGCATTTGAGTGTTGTCTCTTTTTTTTTTTAGCTAAGCAAAAAAGTGAAAGCGAAACCTAAAAAAATCCCTAAAAAGGAACAAGACGTTCCACCTGGAACAAAATGTGTTGTGACAGGTTGGGGAACCACTGATTCTAAAGTCATGAAACCTTCTGATAAACTGCAAATGTTAGAGGTGACAGTGGTGGACAGGGACTTGTGCAACTGCTACTACAACAGAGATCCTGTGATCACCAAAGACATGCTGTGTGCCGGAAACAAGCAAGAAAACAGAGGCATCTGTTGGGTATGTCATTATTGTGGTCTTTGATTTATGGCTGGTTGCAGGCTCTTTGAAATCATTCTTTTAGCTGTCTAAAGGAAGAAGAACCTTGTGTTCTGTTTCAGGGAGATTCCGGTGGATCACTGCACTGTAAGAAAAACATAGTTGGAGTGGTATCAGGGTCAAGAGAATGCGGTGATCCCAAGGAACCAACTGTGTACACTTTTCTTTCTGAAAGACATATCCGCTGGATCAATAACACACTGAAAAAGCAATTCAACAGCACAACCTTTTAAGAAGCTAACATTTCCAGCATATAGACTTTTGGTTGTAGTTCATATTGCTGTAACAAAAAAATTATGATTTTGGAATTAAGATTAAATATATATTCACAAAGCAATACTGTATTATTTTTCACACATTTTTAAACAAGTAGTTGAATTGAGCTAACTGAAAATCATGTAAATGCATCCAATACTACATTAATACAAATTCAATGAAGAATAGTTTTCCTCTGTGCTTTATTATTGATGGACACACTCTTGTTATGGTTAAACAAAGACCGGAAGATGACCTGCATTATCTGGTAAAACTCATGAAATGGAATCATATTCCTTTTTATGGTTTGTTTGCCAACTGAAACAATTTAATCCTCAATTTGACATTTTCAAAACTTCACTAGTTAATGACTGCGAATTGGTTAATTAGTCATGTTTTCTTTGTTTGTCTTCCGTTACATTGAACACATTACACATTAACACCAAAGCGCATCAAGTAAACTCCCACTGGCTTTTTATAATATTCTTTGTATGCAAACACAAACAGACGGATGTTGTGCTAATTGTGTTTAGAGTTTTGAAAATGTGACTAGAGATTGGACAAAAGGATGTTAGCAACTGAAAAAAACAACAAAAACTTGTAACTTAAGAGTGTAGTTAATACACAACAAAATACATTGTTGCACAAACATGATGGTAATCAATAAAAAGGGATTCAATATACAATTCTTACACTGTAAAAAAATTGGTGAGAAGCTAATAAATCAAAACATTTCATGTAATGCTACTGTAAAATATTGTTACAGTTTTTGTAAGTGAAAAAGATCGTCATCTTGAAATGAAAATGAAAAACCATAAATTGATCTTCCCAGCATTGACTGTGCGAGAGTTTTTTTGATGGTTGGTTGATGTTTTTTTTTATTGAAATATTTATTTGATCAGTTATGTACATTAGGGTTTTATGTTACAACTTATCTTAATGTTTATTGTATTACTTTAGCAGCATGTGTGTTACCATGGTGGTATTTGTGTGTATGACACTGTCCACCTTCTATATATTGTTTTGTTAATTATTCTGTTGCTTGTGGGTTGTAGCAATGGACCACCAAGGCACGGACCCACCACACTAACCTAAGAGACAAGCGTGGTGCTGCTGTTATTCTTTGCTCTGGTGCTGCATGTCCACAGATGTGTTGCAGCTCTGAGAAAATTACAAGGGCAGGCTGCTTTTCAGTCTATTAGTCCTACTGTCAGCGCATTTTATTGTACAGTGAAAGCCAAAATTGCATAATGAAGCATGAGTGCGCTTGATGTTATTCAGTGATTCTAATACAAGCCTTTATTTGTCCCTAGTGGTTTAAGAAACAGAAAAAACTCATTCTGTCAGCAGCTATTTTTCTTCCCCAATGTGAGTCGGTGGGCCACAGTTTTATTTGATGCCATATGTGCTGTACTATATATCCAAGCCATGAGTTTGTGTAAGCGTGTTCTGACGGAGTATATGGTATATTTGCAGCCAATACAGGTTTAAAATCATTGGACGTGTTCAGCTTGCAGCGCCCTTCCCCTAGTTAAGGCATTAGTATAATAGCATCTCAGCATGTGATGGGTTAATGAGAGGGCCAAAGGTGGGGATTTTTATATCTTTTTTTATTTAGCTCTACATAATTAAAAACGTAAAACATTTTGACATTATTAAGGTCCTTGCACACTGAGACCAAAATTTTCACATGCGTTTTGCCATTTTTTTTTCCATATTCGTCATCCTTTCCTATCAAAATGCATGCTACGGATGCAAAAACGCAGAACATCGAACCTGATCTGAATTTTTTTATGACGGATGAAAGTTTTGGAGGCAGTGTGTAAACGTGATTGACACAACGTGAGGTCGTATTTATTTTTTAACGTACGAAAATTTCGGACTCAAGATATAGATTGACCTGCATGTTAGCTTGCCCAAGAGCATGTTCTTTTTAAGAAATGATGCTTCTAATCACTTATAGGCATCAAATAAAAACACATGACGGCATGTTTATAGGTATTTGTAATAATACACATTATCAGTGTTGGGTAAGTAAGTAATTACTAGTTACTGATTACATCTTCAACAGTGTAATTAGATTACTGTACAAATTACTCTCTCCAAAAAGTATTTAATTACTTATTACTAATTACTTTCTAAATCCTATATCAACCTTGACAAGTTAATGATACAAGGACAGACATGAAACGGTTCTTTTAATTCTTTCAAATAACACTAAGGATTTAGAATAAGCTCTTGCAGAATAAGACATTAATATGTGTGTTTTTTTTAAAAGTAATAATAAACAGTCAATATCCCAGTAATATTCACTCTAATACCAAGAGTAAATAGTGAGAATTGGACACAAAAATGTAACCAATATTCTTATTAACTTACTAAAGAAGTGAGAAGGTACATAAAAGCATGCATTTTAAGGTTAGACTTTACATTTTTATGTTAAATCCACTATTGTATTGCAAATGAATGTTATAAAGTCTATACACAGTATTAAGTTCAATTACATAAGAAGTAACTGTCATTAAATTACAGAAAAAATAAGAGTAATCCCTTACTTTACTTGTATCAAGGGAACAGTAATTAAAATACAGTAACTAATTACTTAGTAACTAATTACACCCAACACTGGAGAGGGCCAAGGCTTGCGTTAATTAAAAAAATAAGATTAATTTAGTTGTTTACTGCCAAGAGTAAAACGATTAGCATATTTACTGCTGTTTGTTAAGTCAATCATCACTATTATAATTGTTCATAGTTAACCCTTAGTGATTTGAACACTCAATATTAAAGTATCAACAGCACAATAAACCCATGAATGTCCATTAAAACAACAAAAAGGGTCATATGAGCTCAATTCACAGCACATGTGCAGAGACATTACATTAAGTGATAGATGTCAACATAAAGTGATGCATGAACACAGAAATGAAACCGGTGTTTACTGACCCCTAGTGGACACAATGAGTTCAGCACGACACACACAACTGCTGAAGCCACATGATGATGAGGGTAGAATGTCTTACTGAAAAACACGTTCAGAATTAAGCACAACTACAGGTGATTAAAATGAATTATGTGACAATAGACATTAATTAACGTTGTTGCACTGTACCTGATGGACTATTATGCTGTCCCTATTTGCGGTCCCTCCAGTTCACCCCCAGAGGTCATTATCGTCTTGTCTTATTAGGGCTTTGACTTGGATTTACA